CCGATTTTGAAGAGCTCGATGTCCAGGTACTTGCAGCCGCTGACACCGCCCGCATTGTCACGTGTGTTCGAGTGTGTGATATCTTCAATATTACGACTTTGCAATGCACGCATCAGGAGGACCGACGTTCTAGCGTTTTGCGATTTTAGTTAATAAAGTGCTATGCGCATGGTTAGTCAACCCCCAGGCTGTCTGACATTCTAGTACTTTTTGAACTTTTCCATTATTTTTCATAAAGTGAAGGCTTCTGAAAATATGGTCCTTGCTCCCAAAAATTCCAAACTTTTTTCAACCGGTTATGCGGAAATTCTACTTCATTTGCCAGCACCACTGTCCCTTATAAAATGTGATACTCTTTGGAACTGCAAAAGTATATTTTCTTAAATTTTAACTCCTTTCTCTCTCTCTGCCTGAAATCCCCCCCCCCCGTACTCGTGCGCGAGCACATCAGAACCTTTAACACTCTGTGTTAGTGCGAAAATCGCATTCCCCGATATTCTCTACCTAACCTCGGAGTTCGAGTATTTTTACTTGGAACACCATGTGTATTATTGGATACATCTCATGTGTACAAACAGGTGTCCCACCAACTTTGGATACCCAATCACTTCTAAACGCTTCACGATATTAAAATGCAGTTTTCGCTCAACAATGTGGAACTTAGATTTTTTAAATAGAACTATACATTTTTCGCTAGCAACGGATAGATCATAAAAGTGGAATACAATTATGTATCATTTGTTAATGTTTGACTAATAATTTTAGTATAATTATACTTTCCTACGTGTGATTTGCAATTAAACGAATATTTCCCTATAGTAGCCCTTGCAACGGTCGCCTTCGGGAAAGGTGGTCTTCGCCGCGCCGAGACTTACGGTGAGAGGGGACACAGACGGGTGGCAGAGTGCGACTGTTGCCCTGCACGTTTTGTCACGATGTCAAAGCTGAAACAAGCTCATATTCTCAACCAAGAATATTTAAACCAATGGATAGGGCGGGTTTATATGATACATTAGCATATACAACTCCATATCTCATAAGTAAGGAATTTTTTGTCTGGAGAAAAATAAACGAACTTGTATTTGAGAGAAAGCCTGCGGCTCCATAAAGTGTGAAACATGTCCAACAGTATTATGAGTTGCGACGATGGATGTGCATTTCTCTTAAATTTTTAATAACAGAATGTTCAAGAGCATTTCAAAGTTAGCATTGCTTTGTCCTTTAATACACTGATGTGTTAAATTGAAAGTTTATTAACAGTATCTAATTATAGAAAATTCCTACCTATTATTTTATGAATTATATCAAGATTTCATATTGTGAAAACTTTCAAATCGTAGACTCGTTTACCATGTTTTAAATGCTGGCTTGTTTCTGCCATAACACACTGAGCTCTATTCTTGTAAGTTTGTAAGTCTGAACCTTTATTATCATCATCTTCCTTATGATACCAAATTTTTTATATTGTTCTTTGCAATGATCCACGATTTGGAATTTCAATACATAAAAAGTTAAATCCAGAAGAATAAATGGAGAACCTCTCTCATTCTGATCGTCATCGTCGTCATCATCATCATCATCATCATCATCATCATCATCATCATCATCATCATCATCATCATCATCATTATTATTATTATTATTATTATTATTATTATTATTATTATTATTATTATTATTATTATTATTATTATTATTGTTTATTCCTGTGTCTTTTGGGTCAAGACTATGAATTGCTGTTGTTATGTCTCTGTTCCTCACTGCCATCCTCCTTAGTCTCCCCATCAAAGTACAACCCCAAACAGACCAGACCCACTTGAAAACATTGCGGGAATCTAAATAGTTTAGTTCAATGACCCCTCGTTCACTTGTTAGTTGGGACATCAGATAAGATCACTTTGCATGGTGTTTAATTCGAATGAAGAGCAAGATAACAATATCCAAGCATGTTGGTTTCTCGCCAACAATAGACTGCGGTGGGCAGCACCTGCTTCTTTTCAAAAATGTAGCTTGTAAATAATCTGGGAAGTTTTCACACGTGTGTTTACAGATTCCTAATGAGTTATGAGAGCTTTCAGTAAGTAAGATAGTCTTTACTATAATATCGGAAACAAAACTATAAAATGTAAATAATATATTAGTTATAAATTAGAAATAAAGGCCACAAGCTAACATCGCTTTGATTATACACACACAAACACCATACCACACACATAGAAGATCAGTACCAAAATGTAATGACATTGACAGATCTCACTGCTTTATTACACAATGCAGCAATCAAATCTGACAGCCTCATTGTAATATCTCAAAGCAAACTCATTTCCATACAAGGTTAATATTTATTTCTACTCAAGTTCACATGGATACTATAAATATTTAAGATCAAACCCTGAAAAATTGGAACCATACACAAACCAATGGAGGAAATATTAAATGAAACAAACCCAATAAAGCTGAGCCATACCTTCAACATTGCAAGGAGTTAACGTTACAAAGAAATATTGATTTGCTGTAACTGTAAAAAGCATGACACAAGGTATATAGTTTCTTCTATCATTAGCCCTTAAAAACACCTGTATCTTCTGAGGTTAATTTCAAAATGTTAAAATGTGATGCAAACATTAAAATGTGTCATTTCTCTGCGAAGGGAGTTATCATAATATGAAGCTATTTTTTAAAAAACCCTTTGAAGTAGATATACAATTGGTGAAACAATGGCAACTGGATTACTGAGCATGTATGAGTACAGTGAACATTCCTAACAAATCTATTTGTAATAGATTCTTGAACATTGACAGCTTTTAGGGATTCAGTATCTGAGAATCTTCAAAACTTATATTATCCCTTTAAGAGTCTGTGTGTCTTGGTAAACATTGTATTTTCTTTGAGCAAAAACCATTCTCAAAGGGTGATTAAATTGTAAGAAAATTTAGACACAATTTACACCTTTATTTTTCACTTGTGACCAGATTTCTTCAAAAAAATGCATAATTATTTCTCCCTTAATATTTTAAACTACATATGTGAGTATGTCAATTTTTAATTTAATATTAATTTTGTTTTATATTTTTAAAAGAGTTTATGTATATACAGTTTCACAGCAACAACAAAAAATCATCACACTTTAAAAGGAGGAAATTGTAACAAACAACTAATCATCATACACAGTCAGGATGTGCATCTCCAATTAAGTCATTCACATACATACCAAGAACAAAATACAAGATCCCTTCTATCCAAATTCAGAATTGGTAATTATAATAAAGTATCAAACTTATTTATAGGAGCATGTGCTAGAAGTAAATTTACTGCAACTTGTCTACAAGAAGTGTGAAAGCTTTTATCCATAACTGAAGGACAAGCAAGCTTCTGTGTATTCAGGAAAAGGCTCTCATTCACCAGGATCTTAAAATTGCCTTGACAAATAGACCTTTTATAACCTTTTCCTGAATGTAAGAAGCTTGCTTATCCTTCAGTTATAGATAAATGCTTTCACACTTCTTGTAGACAAGTTGCAGTAGATTAACTTTTATAGGTGTTGTGGTGTAATATCTTTGGCATTTTTAAAATAATTAAAGATGTTGTCATTGCCAACAATATTATTTAATGCAATAGCAGCTTTCGATGGCTTAGCCATCATCATCAGTTGTCTGCTAGATGGAAGCCACAAAACGACTACTTGGTAGGGTAGTCGTTTTGTGGCTTCATTGCAGACAACTGATGATGATGGCTAAGCCATCGAAAGCTGCTATTGCATTAAATAATATTGTTGGCAATGACAACATCTTTAATTAGATTAACTTTTAGCACATGCTCCTATAAATAAGTATGATACTTTATTATAATTACCAATTCTGGATTTGGATAGAAGGGATCTTGTATTTTGTTCTTGGTATGTATGTGAATGAATAGAAGGCATTCGATATGTATTTAATATGTTGTGCACCTACATCTTGTCAGTTATAAGCAATTGTTTGAAAGAAGTATTTAATATCCAGTGGTAAAGATGTGACTTTCGGGACTACATGTTACATCACAATTATTTGCTTGCTTTAACCAACAATAATATTACACGTTTCCATTGAGAATAACTATCAGTTTACTCAAAAATTCATGCAAACCTAATTACAAACACAGATGTTGAAAGGAAGGCGCAAAAAGTAGAATAACAGACTTGGAAAACGAAGTCAAGCATAACGGAAAATATAAACTGTTATATTCAATTTAATGCAATAAGATATAAGTTATATTACTTCCAATAGGCAAAAATAATCCGTTGAAAATATACTTGGATATATTGAAGCGTGCATTTCAAGTAAATCAGCTGACGGTTTCATCCAATCCAGAGCTTTAATGTTACCATAGTGACATCACTGCAGCGACATATAATCTCCCGATTGGATGAAACCACCAATAGCTGATACCTGCCAGACACGCTACTAAATAAATCATACCACAATGAACTATAATAGGATTGGACTTAATAATTAGTAAACAATATAATTAAGTAAAAAGAAATTCTTTTAGATTTTTATTGTACTGGTTTCTTGACCTTAATAAACAGACTCAATATTTTTTATAACAATTTATTTCTTATTATACAATCATGGCATTTCAACAAGAAACAAATTGATATAAAAAATATTGAGTCTGTTTATTAAGGTCAAGGAATCATTACAATAAAACAGATGTTAATAGATTCATTATAGTAATCTACTATTTTTTTTTCCTCACATAAAAAATTCTGAGGGCATTTGGATAATATGCCTTTCCTCAGAATGTATCGAAATAATTATGTGCACTTTTTTTCAATTATAATTTATACTGCCATTCAAAGAGCCTCAAAAGCAAAATTTAAATTGTCTTGCATTATCAGGATTTCATAAACAACATTAAATATGTGAGTATTACCTGTTGCTGTATAAATCCAAGTTTATTATAAGACATTGCCTATTAATGAATTCCAATTTGGAAAACAAATACTCATGATGACTTACCGGTTTGGGCTCCCACCAACAATTGCAGCGCATGAAGAAGCAGCAGAAGACAAAGTAAAGCCATAGTCATTTTTAGACAATAGACAATTACTCAAAAAACCTATTCCCCCATGAAAGTCTGCTTTTGCAGTTTCAGCTGTACCCTTGTGGTACTGTCATATCACTGGTTGATACTACATAACCTCCACCAAGAACTGCCATCATTGGTCTCGTATATCTGCAAAATCCACAACGCTTCTAGTCACTACCCGTAGGAGTTTCCTCACAGGAGCATGCACATCATTGAATTGTTTGTTCTTGCTTCGATCAAAGAACCAATTTAGTTCGTTCATTCATTCACATACGAATTCTTGAAGTAATTAAAACGCAGCACTCCTTCAGTAACCGTGACATCATCTTTTCACTCGATATACCGACATTAAAAATATGATATGCACAAAAGGGGCACACATGACAGGAGGGTTTCAAGAACAAATCAACAATCCCTTTACCTTCATATTTTTTTCGTTATCGTGGACTAACAATTTATGCAAATACAAAATAACGCACATCTTCTAAGGCTACCACATCTAATTTCCCGGCGTTTTCGAAACTAACGATACTTGAAAACAAAATCACATTGGCAACCGTCACAGGTTAAATAATACTATTCAGCATCACCACAAACCCTCCATGTTGGCTGGGGTGGACTGAGTTCCAGTTGCAAAACGTGATGTTTGACAGAGGGAGGTACATACAACCAAAGAGTACAAACCCTCAGTACAGTAACATCAGCTTCGGTTCGCTTCCGTCTCGACCAGAGAGTTAGCCACTCTCTCTGGTTTGTCTTCTTTGCCCTGCACTCCCAGCGTTCCTACTTGGTTCCTACTGTGGAACTCTCGGAACAGACCGCGAAAAGGGAATGTAGTTATCTAAAAATACAGTGATAAATGAACAGCCCACATTGGTAATGAAACCGTAAAAAGTATTTTAAGGTACTTTAATGGAAGTTAATTTACAAAACAGCACAAACAAGAATGGTTGCGACCGGCATTTATGAACAGATCATTTTCAAACATTATTTCTAGACTATTGAAATTAGAAATGTCAAATGATAGGGGCTAAATTTAAGGTAATGTACCTAGGTTCAACAAGACACTGACAGCTGTAATCTGGCTGTATTATCGAGTTCGCTTGAATAAAGAAGGATATCGATATACATTCTTTAGCGATATTGACATGTCAACTTCCTCGAAGTTACAGTACGATTTCTGTAGTCATGTGTCTGACAGATATCAGGTGTTGACAGTTCCATCCAATCGAAAACTTTTATGTCGCTGCTGTGATGTCACTATGGTTACGTTCAAGCTCTTGATTGGATGAAATGGTCAACAACTAAGTTACTTCAAACTCATGGTTAAATAAATCAAAGTGTAGGAGCAAGTTGGGAGTGCGAATCAGCTGTTCCGAGCTATTTGTCGGGGAGGTTGGCCTTCGCAAGTCGCGATGGCGATGGGCAAGGGGTTTCGTGTATTTGAAAAAATCTCTCCCCCAAATCCTTATAGTGTCCTCCTTGAACAAAGAAACAGAGAAGAAACTCTTTTGTTTGAATCACAAGCTGTCGCTGTTTTATGTAGGTATTTTAGGCGTGTTTGAAGTCTGTTAGATGCTTATCTGTGAATGTCAAGTTTATTTATGTTGGCTTGAAATTCAATATTTTGAAGTAAACTTTATTGACAGTGCATTATAACAAATTTCGTTCTTGTTATCTCGTGCGTACTGTAGCAGTGTGTGTCTAAATTAAAACCTTGCTTCTCGTGCAGCTACAATCTTAAATGTATTTGTCTTGTTCTTTTCATTGCGGACGTTCCGGTCCACACACTTGCATATAATTCATCATTAATTTTTATTTTTAATCAGGTGTGAGCATTGCCTATCTTCGTATACAGCTTACTTTTAATAATTTCATATAATTTTCTCAATTTAGTTTCTTTCATGTAATGTATCTAAATATTGTTAGGGAGATTGTTTCTTATGTATATAAACGATACTTTTGTTAGTCTTGTGTTTAAATTTTTTTAAATAATTAAGTTCCGAGATAAGTTTATATTTCATATTGTTCTAAATTGGAACTTAAGACTGTATCTGTGTTCAGGAAATATATTAAAATACACTTTTCCTTTTGTACTTTGTCATGGATGTGTTTGATCGGGAATTAACAGAATTATGTTTGTAATGTTAACTCTTCTCGGTTAATAAAAATTTACTGTATTGAGTTTTTGTATCAGACAATTGTGAATTTGATGCATATAAAGTTTGACAAAAATATCTGTTCAAATTGATTGAAAGAAAGATAATTAATATTTGATAAATGAATTCTTGTTCTTATAGATCATCATTAGAATATGGTCAGATTTAATATCAGTCCCATAGAGAACACTTTCTTATAAGTCACCCATATAATGTTCAACAATTAATTTTGATAAAAATAAATAAAATACTAATGTTACTAAATAAATAAAGGATTCATCATTTCCATTCACGCACATGCCTCCAACTTTTAGAATTCACTTATTAACTTTTTTCCAGTTTTTAGTTTATGCAGAAAAAAGTAAAATTTCATATCACAAATTCTATTTATTTTATATTTATTTTGAATGAATGTATTTTTATTCAATACCATTGATTTTCAAGCTCCACAAGAAACTGAGTCTGTGAAGAAGCTTTACACAAAACTCTTGGATGCTTATGGCTGTCTTGGTGTTTTACAGTTGAATGCAGGTATTTATACATTTCATGACACATCTGTTCTAAAATGAAAATCAGAGCATACTTACAGTTTTAAATACTTCTCTAATTTGTATATCTCAATTTAAGGAGAAAGCACAGTTCTGTACCTGGTACTTGTAACTGGATGTGTCTCAGTTGGCAAAATTGCAGAATCTGAAGTTTTCCGAATTACTCAAACAAATTTTGTATCTCTTCGTAATCAACCTCAAGATGAAGAACGTATTTCTGAAGTCCGAAAAGTTCTTAATTCTGGAACTTTCTATTTCTCATGGTCAGTTTCAGGAGAAGCTTTGGATATTACCCTATGTGCACAACGTAGGAAAAAAGCAACTGCAACAGACAACAGATTTTTCTGGTTAGTGATGATTGTTTATTTCTAAATTTGGTAAATATATAACTTTTTATTTAACATGTATGTTTGTTTGCAGGAACCGAATGCTTCATATCCATCTATTGAGATTTAGTGTCAGTTGCTCTCATTGGCTTCTTAAAGCCATGTGTGGTAGTGTTGAAATACGAACAGTATATGTAGGGCACAGGCAGGCCCGTGCTGTAATCATCTCCAGATTGAGTTGTGAGAGAGCTGGTACTAGGTAACTAAGACTTACAATATAGATTTTCCAAACATCTGCATAGAAATAAATCAAAAATGGAGTTCAGAACATTTGTCAAAAAATAATCTAATAAAAGATTAATTTAATGGTTATTTCTTGAAAATTTTTGTGAATTTAAATGCATACATTTTTATGTGATTCTTATTTAAAAAGTAAATTCAGTTCCTTAGTTCTATTTTAAAGATAATTTTTGTTGCTGTAAAGAGTATTGGTTGTATTTCAGAGTGAATGTTATTTGTTATTCTGCAGATTTAATGTACGGGGAAGTAATGATGATGGTCATGTAGCTAACTTTGTGGAAACAGAACAAGTTATATTTTTGGATAATGAAGTAACATCATTTGTTCAGACACGAGGATCGGTTCCATTATTTTGGGAACAGCCAGGTGTACAGGTAAGGGTTTGTAAACTTGTTTGCTTGTGCTCATTATGGTCGTATTTTTTTTAATTATTGCTATGCAAGTTATATTAAAGATCAGTGGCATCCTGAACTAATACTATTTTCAATTTTTTTTGATAATATTGTAAATTTTCTTTTGGATACCGTTTAAATTCTTTTTAAAATTGTGTGACAATTGTTTTATATTTACCTTTAGAAACAGAATTGTTCACAGTTTAATTTTTATTCAGTATTTTGAATAAAATGGATTATAATGTTTATTCATTGCGTTATAACATTTACAATTGACCATAGAAATGTATCTTTCAAGGGAACTACATGGTAGATTCCACTCCAATGAAATTGAGCAATGTAAAATAATGAATAGTATTGTACTCATTGTCTTCAGTTCACATTTCTAAAAAGAGATAACCAAAGCAATTGCTTTTAAATAGCTTTTTACCTAATTCCTGCACTGAAAAAAGTAGGTTCTCTAGCATACAAAAACAAGAATTTTGAGCCAGTCTAATGTGAAAAAGAAGATAGACCAACTGTATTAGTTTCTCATTCCCAAGTTTTTTGTCAGTTGTGATTTTTCTTGAATACTGACAGAATAGTGTTGACAACAACAGAATAGTATTGACAGACTGTTGACAACAAACTGCAGTCATGTTCACATTTAAAAGATACACATTATTTTTATTTTCTAAAAAATTGTTTTACTTGCAATGAATAAAAAAATTTCACAGCAAATTTGCCTACCTTTTTAGTAATACTGAAATATACTGCTGCAATAGTGCAAAATGGATTTGAAAAAAATTCATCTTTTAAATATTTGATTTTTATTTTCAGATGTAGTATTTTTTCTGGAATTTTTTCTACGGCAAATGAGTTTAGCTAAAACACAGCTGTTCTATCATGTTATATATTTCTCATCAATTTTGTTATAATTAATAGAAATTATTTTTGAAATTTTGATGTATATATTTGATGTCTGTTAATGAATATTGATATTTTACATCTAATCATTTTTTGAAAAGAACTTCAGAATTAGTGCATTCAAATTTAAATCTTCAATTTGACGATTAAAAAATTTGTTCCCCCTGTTGTTTACCTTCAAACCATTAGAACAATTTTTTTTTAGGTTGGTTCTCACAAAGTGAAAATGTCAAGAGGGTTTGAAGTGTCTGCTCCTGTGTTTGATAAACATTTATGTTTAATGAAAGAACGTTATGGACGGCAAGCAATTATCAACTTACTAGGCACTAGTCTGATTGGTAGTAAAGAAGGAGAAGCGGTTCTCAGTCAGTTATTTCAGGTAGATATTAATGTGACATATTTCCTGAATTTATGTGCCAATTAAGATTGTATACTTCTTTGAACAGGAGTTTGGAAATATGAAAGCAATATTCTTATTTTTTTAAATTTTTTTATTTAGGCCCATCACAAAGCCTCACAACATGCAGCTGATGTTCCTCACATTGTATTTGATTACCATCAAGAATGCAGAGGTGGCAATACCAAGAATCTTAGCAAGTTAAAAGCCAAAGTGGAGAAATATTTACAGTCTTTTTCCCTTTTCTATATGAAAGGTGATGAAACGTTAAGGTATGCATCCATTAAATGCACTAATTTCTTTGGGGGCTTAATGGTATATCACTACAATATATTAATGCTTACTCTTGAGAGTCCAAAGTAATGCCAAGTGACATACAATGCAATTTTGGTCTCAAATTGCATTTCATTATATATTTGTCTACTTCCAAATTGTATAATAAAATACTTTCATATTATAGAAGCTTAAATACCAATGAATCATGAATTTGCAAAATTACGTCATTCTACCTACTACTTAAGTCAATAATAATCTCTTAAACATGTAACAGATTTGTTGCACTTCTGATGCAACGTTACTTATATGAATTGCATTGTTTTGGCATTTAGTGTTAATATTGTAAATGTAATTTATAGGGATTTTGGTTAATATTTACGATAATGGTAGGCAGTTGTTTTTGTTTTCATTTTGTTTGAGCTTTCATCTAAAAGCCCTGATGAGGTCTGCAAATCAGCAAACTAAACAAATGTCTTTAGCCTCCCATTTTTATGTAAAAAAAATTGTTTCTTTTTGAATTGATAATTAAAACTTTCAAATATTTCAGTCAATATTTTGGGGTTTTGAGATGAGTGTGTGTGGTGGTGTACAAGGGGCATTGTTTGATAGCAGAATGACTTCAATGTGTTGCATCCCTACCATATTTATGAATAGCAAGCTATATAGTAAAGAAAAACAATTTTAGTCATGTCAAGGAATTTGATGAAATGAGTTCTGTTTCTGCTTCGCGCTTATGACATACTTATTTGTGTATGTCACCAGTTGTTGTTACCAGCTCACCATTCCCCATTTCTCTGTTTACAATTTAAAATATTAATGAAATGTTATATATTTATGATGAAGGACAGGTAAAAAAGTCTCAAATGAGGTGTATAGTTTTTACTGCAGTATTTCAGCATTTTTTTCATTCAGTATTAAGGAGTTCTTCAAGTGTTGGTCACCTGGGTCAGAATAAGAACAATATTTTAATTGGCCTTATCTGCTCAGAAATGTTTTTTTGAAATTAACCTTCTTTTTCTTTACAAGGATTGAGAGTCTATAGAAGTGCTCTAGGCCTAACCACACCTCTGTAGCCTGTATGTCTGTATAAAAGTCCTAGCTTTCGTAGCCTATTTGGGTCCATCCGGTTTGCATTCTGGAACCATTTTTTTTTTGGTATTTTTTGATGTCATGTATGAAACTATCAACGTGTAACCGTGCACTTTTTTTGTTTGGAACTCTGTCTCTTATAGACCCAGTAGAGTTTATACAAAATTCACTTGGGAAGCCTCTAACCTTCTGTTGTACTTTTTTCTCAGTGTCCATGTTTCACTTGTAAAGCAAAGGGTAGATTGAAATACCACAATATATAATCACAGTAGCATGCATAAGCACAGCTTATAATCACAGTACATTTTATTGACTCTTCGTTACCCCCTTTTCAGCTTATTGAATTTACTAATCTTCTCTTGCATTTCAAAGTTAATGTCATTAGATATTTTGCATCCAAGCTAAATCAGATACTTGTTTGATCATTTTATTTACCAATATTTGTTATCTTTTTTTAAATATTCACTTAGGTATGCCATTGAGTTTTTTGGCATCTTGTGTCAGCACTTCAGCATGCAGGGCTAGATTTAAGGGTGGGCAAGGTGGCTGCAGCCCAGGGGCCCCTATCAAAGGCAAATCATGGAGGAAATTGTGAGTTTTAACAAGTCATATGATGTCAATCAAATTCATATATTTTTTGTCTGTAGGGTATGACACATGTATTCATACATTTTGATTGTATTTGATGCGATACAAAATTGTGATTATTTTATACTTTTTGTTTTATTTTGATTTTATATTTATCTCATTTTATTTTAATTTCAAATAGCCAATTTTTTCTCTGACATTGACTCACAACACTTCATACTAACAGCGTCATTTATTTGCTATATTTTATTTAGAATTAATTGTATGCAATATTTTTATAAAGATTCAGTGTATAAATTATTTTCAAAACAATCTCCATTGTGCAAACAAATCTGTAGTGTGTTTTGCTAAATTTTGTGTGAGAATTTCCCTCTTCAGCATGGTTACATTTTTAATATTGGGATCTGACATTTTCATAGGAGCAGGGCTTGAAAAAAACATGGCATCTATAAGTTTACTATGAATTTTTAAATTACAATAAACAAAACTAAGCTGTAAAAATATGCAATTTTTTAGGATTAACATACGCTTCAATTTACTTATAGTGGATTTTGTGATTGGAAACATGCTGAATAATGGTTAGAACATCACTAGTCTTCATAATCCTACATAGATGCTGTGTTGGATTCCACAAAAGGTTCAAATGTAATTGGATACGACAAAATTTCACTTATTCAATAAGGAGAAGTGACACAAAAATGTTGGCGAAATATTCTTCACCATTTTGTTAATATTATAAAAATTCTGTAGGAACTGCTTTGGCATTCTGTGCTAATATGGAAACTCTTGGATCACCAGATAGGTGGTACTACCTTGGCTTGCTTGAATTATTGGCGGAATTCAACAATTTTCTTAAGAGAAACGTCACAGATAATGCCAATCACGGTAGTGGCCGTGTCAGTTCCCTTTTGTCTTCCATTTGCAATTAGATTATAGAAGTGATAGGAAGAAAAGTGTACGGTGAAATTATTGCAGAGATAAAAAAATTGTTACTAGTCAATTTCAATGGATTCATATACAGATGAAGGCCATCTAGACCAACTCACTGTGATTTTTCGGTACGTGGAAGAAAGCACTCCTTTTGAGAGATTTCTATTATTCTTGTGTAATGAAGATCACAAATCACATAATATTAGCAATGGTTTGAATAACGTTTTAAATACGAAGAATTTGGATATTAAACATTGAAGAGGACAGTCCTACGACTATGCTTCTGCCATGAGCGTGTAATACAGTGGTCTTCAAGCTCTCATGAAGGTAGACAATGAATTATCTGAGTGGATTCCTTGCCCTGCTCATTCACTGAATCTCATTGGCAAAGCTGTTTCAGAATTTTGTATTGGAGCATTCTCTCATTTCAACATTTGCACAAAATTGTTTCTTTCTTTCTTTCTTTCTTTTTTTTCTTTTTTTCTTTTTCTTTTTCTTTTTTCTTTTTCTTTTTTCTTTTTCTTTTTTTCTTTTCTTTTCTTTCTTTCTTTCTTCTTTTTTTTTTAGTTCTAAATATTGATACAAGACACTTGTTGCGAATTTGCAAAATCTCAGTTGTATTCAAAGAAGTGTCACCTTATATATCACTTATTAATCTTGTTTATTGTCTATTGATAGATATAATTAGTTGTTCAGTATTTTCAAATTTCAATCGTAGGAATACCAATTGAAATGGAAACACATCAATTAAAATACATATATTTTTAATATTAAAATACTTTGTTACGTGTATGACATTTCGTGAACTGTTAGCATTTGAAATTCTTTAAATGAATTTGGGAACTAATAATAGAAGAGGCAAAATCACCTTAAAACAGTTGGTTTATGCTGGTCATACGAAGATGACACATTACATTCTTGGTTGGAGTTTATTGAATTTTAATGAAAAGGTTCGTGTAATCAATCTTGTACAAACATGGTTCTCTGCCTAAAATAGATGAAAGTTATCTGACAAGTTTATTCTGTTTTATGATAGTGTTCAACTTTTTCTTAGTTTCTCATATGTTATTCTTATGTTCCCACATTCTTAGTTTAATTTTACGTTTTGTTTGACCAATGTAAGATTTTTCACAATATTGGCAATGGATACAGTAAACTATATTCTCCAAGGTTTTGAGGTGATTTTGCCTCATCCTGTAAAAGTTCTTAAATTTACTTGAAGAGATTTCAAATGCTAAGCCATTATTTCTCCTTTCTTTTTTCTTTTTTTTTTTTTCTTTTTTTTCTCCCTCCATTTCATTTACCTTAGCATTTTTCATCCCCTTTTATGTCCCCATGCCTCCTTGCTCCCCTTTCTCGCTCTTCCCCTCCCCCTCTTGTTCTAACCCCCTCCCGCACTTCCCTGCCTCTCGTTCCTGGATAGCTCTGTTTCCACATTCTAGTCCCATCCTCTACTGACTGAAGGCCTCTTACGATGTTTGTTACCATCAGTTGTTTCAAGTATCACATCTGTACTAAGTAATTTATTTTAAATTATGAGTGAGTCTCTACATTTTGCTTTGTACTTATATGTATTGTTTGTAAAAGCATCAGTGATTTTAATTTCAAATAACTTGCCTGTTTTTTCAGAATATTGTACCTGAAGATGTGAACAAACGGTTCGTGAAACATCGTACATGTAATATGAAGCATTTTAATATTGAAAAAATATGTATTGTAATTGATGTGTTTCCATTTCGAATGGTGTTCCTATGATTGTCTCAAATTTGAAGGTAATGAAAACTAATAAAGTGTCATTAATGTCCCAAAGAGAATAAACACAACACGTTAATCGTGTCATGTAGATGGGTCCAAAGCATGGATATTTCAAAATAAAACATACACTATTGTTCATCTCTGAAGATGTTGCACAACATTCTAACACTCAAGGATTGCATAAACAAATGTGTGACTTAGAAATTGGCATATATACAGGAATTTGAAATGGTTTTGTTCCCTAAGACAGAGTTTATACTTCTTGTCACATTTCTACTGAAGCATATTCATCTCTGAATGTCTTCTTGGCTATTTCCCTTTTTGTTAGAAAGTACTCCCATACAACCATATAGTACACCAATATTTATATTTGTTTACGCCTTTCATTTTTCCTCCATTTTCCAGAAGATCTTCTACTTCATTGTTGCCATCTACCAAGTATTCAGATTTATTAATGGTAAGTCCTGGTTTGAAAAAGTGTTCATTGAGTTTACAGATCATGAAAATCAAATTGGCATCATCTTCTGCAATGACTACCTGGTTATTGGCAAAATATAATGTATATAATTTATTCTCTCCAATTGTCATTCTCATTATTCTGCATTGTTTCTCCCACTGCTGTAAAATTTGATGCAGATATATTTTAAACAGTGTTGGGGAAAGACAGTAGGCAGAAAGACAGCCCTGACAAAGACCTTTACTGATACTAGTAATGGATCCGAGAGCCTGCTGTAGATCTTAATCTGAGAAGTGTTGTTCTTTATAGATTCTGTTTGGCTCCAATTAAGTTCTCACAGATTTTTCGTTCATCCATTTTTTCCCGTACTCTAACAACCAGGTCATTGTCATGTGCCATCTGAAGATCAAAGTAACCCAGATGAATTTCCCTACCTCTCCTTGTTCTCTTTTCTATAAGTTGTTTTAATGTAAATATATTGTCTATTACCACCTTTCTGGCAGTAAATCCACTTTGTTTATGTCCAATTTTTTCTTTTATCTATTCTTTTATTTTATTTCATATTATTTTGCTGTACAGTCTACCTATAGATCCAATAATTGCTATTCATCTGTAGTTTGTTTGATTGTCTCTAGATCCTTTTTTATGAATTGGTGTCAGGTAAGACTCCTGAGGAAGATCTCCATTCGTGCACCTTGAAAACATGTTGGAGCATTTGGTGCAGTTTATAGGGGCCATATTTCAGTAGTTCTGCTGATATGTCTCCCAGGCCAGATGACTTATTAGATTTCATTGTCTTAAGTGCTTTTTCTGAATCTTCAGTTGTCAGATATATCTTTTTCTCAAATTTCACTTCTTTGTTTGCCTGGAAGCATCTGTTTTCTAGTAGCAATATTCCAAAAACCTCTTTCCATTCATTAATGCTGATGTGGAAAAGAATGCTTGGGGGAGGGGGGAGGGCTGTTTATGAGAAAAGTTTGAAAATGACCCAGAGGCTCCCAATACCTTGAAAACTTAATTTAAAGAATTATTTTCACACTCACTGGGCTTCATGTTGGACCAGATCAATTATGGGATATTCAGTTAAGAAGAAAACCTACACATTGTTTAGGCGCTAGTGTTGTTCACAGACAATTAGATATTTTGAAACAAAACAATTTTCCGGGGTCAGGGGATCCTATAATGTGTATTTCCTTTAAACCCTCGAAATCAATTTTCTGCAGCATAAATTATTCCACAGATATAACTTCCTATACAATAGAAAGTATATATTAGAAACTTTTTCATATTATTAGTTACTATCTCGCTCCAATTGTTTAAAATTTTAAGTTACACTTGTGAAATTTAACTTGAAACCCTTTATTGAAATTAGCCCAGTTAGGATTTCTCTCTTAAAAACTACGATTTAAATGAAAGAAAAAAGAAATGGATGAAATGAAAAGTATAAATGAAAAATTGCTTGCTTTCAGGAATTATCAGAGTGAAATGTGACAATGGCATTCCACCCCATGAGACGGCATCTGTAGATTCTGTGAATTCCATCTCATTGGTGGGACATGATTTAGCTGTATGAAACACTGTTATAATTGTCTAATTTTGATATTGGCCTGAAAATATTTAGTTTTCACACCTAATGTTCTACGATTTGTAATGAGTTTTACAAAAAATGATGATGGAGATGTGTTAATTTGGAGAGAAAATGTGGTATAAATAATATTACATAACCAGTACTAAGGGCGAGAAAGTATGTGCTGTTTTAGCACTAGTTTTGCTATCTCAAGAATATCCCAAGAGTGTCATTTGGGTCTACTCTTTTCAATTTTCAGTAATGATTTGCTCACTGTGATAAAAATTCAAACATTCTCATATTTGCTGATGATGTAAAATTATATCTAGATGATATCAGCAACTTGCAACTTGGTGTAAACAATCTATGTCATTCTTTGGTCTTTTAGAGATCTTACAACTTCCTTTCCTGTATGTACTTTTCTAGATAGTAGGCATATTTTAGCTCTGAATCATTTAAATTCTATGTAGTTGTCTGGGTTCTTTGAATTCAGTATCTCTGATAAGAATCTTTCTTGATCATTCTTTTTGCATTTATTTCCTCATTCCATGTTGCAATCGTCATGGCCTTTGCTTCTATTGGTAATGATAGCATTCTAAAGCTGACTGTGAACATTCAATTCACTAGATTTTCTAATCTGACTTATCTAAAGGTATATAAATGTATTTTTTTTCCCCCTTTTTTTCTTTTCAAGATATCCTTTTTCTAAGAAGGCTGTGGACCCTACCTAACCTAAGTAATTATAAAAAGGATGAAAGCAATAGGATAGTTAGGATATCTTTGGGAAGAGAAAAGAAGAAAACATGAAAGAATAGGTAGGAAAAGAAATAATGCACGAGTATAGTAGTATATTCGAAGAAGATATGATAAAATGAATGACATCCTCTCTTAAAACCTAAAAGCTTTGGAGTTGAAAAAAAAACACTTGATGTTGAAAGAGGCAGGAAAAGAAAAACAAAGAGAAGAGGAAGATCTGGTTTAGGCTTTGACAGAAAGAAGCATAAGGAAGAGAGACAGTGGAAGTGATTTAAAGGGCTTGTCAAAGGGGGAAGGGTGAGCGGAAGTGATTAAGGAGCACAGTGGATAAATCAGGAGAGGTTGGTGGTCATATGTAATAGGAGAACCCTGACTATTTGCAGGACTTTCACCCTCTCCTGGGATATTTAGAGTGATGGAGTGGCTGCATCCCAATCCTAAAAAATATTTTTATATATCAGACTTTTTTCCATTTAGATGGCACTCTTTTCTCAGCCATCAGGGATTTTGACATAGTGAAGCATATATTCAAAATATACACATTCAAAGAAGTGAATTTTGTGAGAATAGAAAGCAACCTTCATATAAGCTTTTATGGTATTTATGGCAGTTGAGTATGTCTGCATATCAGTTTGAAATTGTAGTGGTAAAACCATTCATTGAGGAGATTATTCAACATGCTTTCATGCTTTGACATTCTCTTGATATGCCAAAGAAAAATTCATTTTTTTCATTCTGTGCCAAATTTAGTTTAACATCAAAAAAGATTATAAAATAAATTAAGAATTTTTCATCATTTTTTCGTTGACTACTCCTTTAAGTAAATTCCTGAAGAATATTTTATAGCACAATCGGGTAATAGTAAATTGAAGGATGTTGAAAAAACAAACAGACAAGATGAAATTTCATTTTAATTGCAGGCAAGATGTTTCTGAGCTCATTTTATATATTTGAAGTAATTTGTTCTAGAGATAGTATAATGCTTTCTTCATAATTTTAATATAAATTTAAATGATTTATTGTGTTTATTTATTAATATCTTATTTTATTTGATTCACATTTTCCCTTGTGTGTTCGCCGCATGTTTTGGCATGTACCCCCATGTATCTCCATATGTTCTCCAAATGATCCCTTACATGTTTCCTTACATTCTGACCACAAGTTACCACATGTTCCCCAAATGTCCCCCAAATATATCATCAAAAGTTCAACTAATGTACCTTCAAATGTCCCCCAAACATACCTTCAAGTGTTCCCTAAACGTACCTTCAAGTGTTCCCTAAACGTACCTTCAAGTGTTCCCCAAACGTACCTTCAAGTGTTCCCCAAACGTACCTTCAAGTGTTCCCCAAAATGTTTCCCCTCATGTGCCAGACATTTCCATAAATGCCTTTAAACACCTATATGTAAATTTAAAAAATTAATAGAGTTTTTTTTTATGACATGCTTAAAAACATGATGTGTAGTTCAGGGTCTCCCTTGCAGGATGCAACATAATTTTTTTCAACAATTGTAATCTCCACAAAAACAAAGCTTTTTAAATAATAGTTTTAAAAGTGAAAGTACCTTCACAGTGGAACCCAACTTTCAGCGTTTCTTCATAGAGTGATGGAAGCATCAAAATATAATAGAATGTCCAAAGAAGTCTTGTTGTGTATATTATAGTGTAGAAAATATAACTTCTCTCACACAAAAAGTAGGTTTCAAGGCTCTAGGTTCCATTATTTCTGAGATATGCACAATGCTTATGTTGTTGCAGCATAATGTGGTTTTTGGTTTGCATGTGCACCTGGAAATCAGTATGTGTCCTAATCTGTGAACCTTTTTCTTGTCTTAAATCTCTTTTATGCACCCTTGGGGAGTAATTCCCTACCAAGCAGTAAATACACTGAAAGGATTTTGTGTCCATGGTTTTTTATATAAGGAAAAATCCATCATCTTTCCATAGTACATTATATGTATGGTAGAGGAGATATATTGATGATGAAGCTACTTCACTCGCATATCTGTCCAATTTACAACTCTCTCTTCTCCTGTTCCTAAGTATGGCATAGAGAGGCCACAAACAGTTGTTTTTAGTTGTCTGTTTTGATATTTTTGTGTACATTCTGCATTATGATTCTAAATGAAGAGCATTAATTAGGTTGGGAAATAACTAAACTTACAAGGCTGTCAATGTATTATTAGACATCATACTTCAAAAGAAGTTGAATTCTCCTTCAATTGAGAATACTAAAAAGTATACTGCCGTTATTTGCGTGTTAAATTTAGCATTGTTATTTACTAATTTTAATACTGATTCCTTCTTCAGTGAACAAGTGGGAACATTACGCACAAATTGTTTGGATTGTCTGGATCGAACCAATTGTGTTCAGACATTCTTTGGCTTGGAAGTAAGTTTTGATTGAGGAAGTTCATATTAGTTGATGTTTTGCACAGTTCTAATTGTTTTTTAATTATTTTTTAAGACTCTAGTGAAGCAGTTACATTTGCTTAATCTCATGGAGAAGCAACAGATGGTGTCAAGGTTTGAGGAAGTTTTCCGCCAAATGTGGATCAATAACGGCAATGAAGTTAGCAAGATTTATGCTGGTACTGGAGCTATTCAGGGTGGATCTAAGGTAATAAAACATCAGTTATATATTGATTTAACTCAAATTAAAACTACAAATATAAAATGATTAGTTGAAACATAATGTTCAGATTTCTCATATCTGTTATGTAGATTTTCGCATGTAAAAAGTATTACAAAACTATGCATTTATATCAGTTATTATAACTATTAGGCAGTAGTTAACTAATTAATACTTCTAACTTAGAATTAACCGAAGTGTACCGAAAAGCTAATACCACAGATAAAAGAAAAGCAGTACAAAGCGGAAAGAACTGTTCAAATGTTCTAGTATGTAAGCATTTGGGACATGAAAAGTACATCCAGTGTAACAGTAATGGATTTGGTTCCTATTCCCATGGCAGGGAATTTGTAATGCTAGGAAGGTTATCTACAGTAAAAGTGGCATGATAGAAAGACATCTTATCAAGATAGACAAGACGGTTTTTCATCTTGGCCTAGCATAGTTTTGGATAGATAACTGAAAGTGGTCTGTATGTGTTATAAAAAGAATTAGGTCATAAAAGAAAGGAAACAACTTTGGATGAAGTACAAATGGTAATCAGGTTGCATAATCAATACAAATAGTTGAGAAAACTTTAACTGCACTGAAAATTTAAACAGATCTAGGAATACCATCTTGGAAGTTATTGGTAGATTTAGTGAAAGGAAAACACTGGAAATCATGAGAAGAATTAAACATACAAAGAAGCTTAGTGAATCAGGTGATTGTGTAATTCTAGGGAAAGTAAAGAGTAATTTTGATTAAGTCCACCAAAAATAGCAAATGAACTTGGAAATGATCTGCAGGTAAATGTTCATACATTTTTTCATGTTTGATCAGTAATTTTCCATGGTTTCTGTGAACACCAGCCGATTTCTGGTACTGTATCCTAACTAACAAGACTTGGACCATTTACAAGTTCCAAGCAGAAATACTATAAAAAATTGAAATGTAAAAGTTTTTTTTTTCCACTGTGTGGGAGAGGGAGTACGAGTTAGAAACAAATTAAAAAATATTTATTTTGTATCGCAATTGTTGCCTAAACATTTTAATTTCTTCCGGGGGAGAGGACCCTTCTTACTATCTTACTTGGCTAAATGTTTAAAAGTAGAGAAATAGGGAAAATGAAGAGAAAAAGGATTTCAACGACACATAGTTTATGAAATTTTTTTTATAAATGTTGATTCAATATGTACTGTATAGATAAAATTGGTAGTGCATAATGAAGTGCCAAGTCAAGACCAATAAACAGTATGAACAGGGTAGAGAGTGATATAACATTGAAGATGGGACAAACATTATATTGCATATTGACATAGTACATTCTCGACTTAAATTGACTATCTCCCAATATAATGTTAACATGTATATTTCCTCTTCCTTTTTTGTTATTTAATTCTATTGAATGTATCCTCTTGTTTCAGCTAATGGACGGTGCAAGGTCAGCTGCTCGTACAATTCAGAATAATTTATTGGATAACAGTAAGCAAGAAGCTATTGACATCTTATTACTTGGGAGTACCTTAAACAGTGAACTAGCTGATCGTGCTCGCATTCTCTTGCCTTCCAATATGTTGCATGGTAAGTTGAAGTTTCAAAATAACAAGTTGTTGAAAGCTTGCTGTAGCATTAGATTTATATTTGATGTGCATCTTAGATTTCAGCGGCATTCACTTTAGTATATCACAATGTTCAATAGACACATAGCCTTTATTACCTATTAAAATTAGATGCAACCTGCAAAATCTTCTTATAGTACTGTTTATGATAAAATTGTTTACTAAATTTTTTCTGTAGAACAGGATTCAGCCATTATCTTAATAATTCAGTAGATATTATTTTGATATTGTTTTTAATTGATTCAGGTGTATCTTCAGTATCAATTCAGTTGTATCTTCCATACCAATTAACATAGAAGCAAGATTATTTTTTCATTTTAAAGCAACGACCTTGTACTTTTATATGTAGTTTCAACTTTTATGTTTACATTATTGGTTTAAACATTTTTTTAATATAAAGAACACAAGAAATTGAGACCCCAAAAAAGTTAAACATGTTTATTTTAATTAAATTCCTATAAATTCTGGTGATAATAGATCATTATATATAACATTACATTAGTGTCTATTGCAATAATGAAGAAAACATTACTTTTTATTCACAAGAGTTGGCTTTTGTGTGGTAATTTTGAACAGCGCTCCTTAGGCGTCAATGCTGAGTGTATACACTTCAGTGTATTCCAAAGCTATGTATTACAATTAAATGGCAGCAAATCAAATCTAACTGTGTAAGTACCGTATTGATGTAGAAACCTCCATGAATAGTCAGAGAACCAAAAATTGGCATGATATCAGGAAATATATTGTATGAATTGTGCACACACACTTTTGCTGGGTCACTTTAGTTGACCTGTCAATGCTCGTAGATTCTATGGGCAGCGACCTGAATGTATTAAATAATCATTTGATCATCATACTACATCTTGGAATCTTGAATCCCAAAGTGAATACTCTAACTCTGGAGGTACATTTTGAAGTGAAGATTTACTGATGAACAAAATGTGCTCTCCCCAAGCCAAACCATGTGTATTAATATTTATAAGATGTTAACGTTCTGGTACTTATTTCACAGCTCCTACAAGTGTGCTTCGTGAAATGTGCAAACGATACAACGAATATAGTTACTCAACATCTGCTCATGTTGCTGTTGGTACATACAATGTCAATGGTGGAAAACATTTTCGGAGTGTGGTTTACAAGGATGTGTCCCTTTCGGATTGGCTCCTTGATTCGACAAGAATAGCAAGATCTCAATGTTAGTTTATTAAAAAGTAATACAAATAATATTTTATTTATTTTATCATATGTTGTAATGCAAGATTTATATTTTAGCATTAGTTGATGTGACAAAAGAAGTAGAAGATGAGCCACCAGTGGATATTTTTGCTATTGGGTTTGAAGAAATTGTTGACTTAAATGCAAGCAACATTGTAGCTGCTAGGTAAGTAAAAAAATTCTTGTACTATAGTTCTGTCAAGATATGATTTAATTGTCTTACTTTTCAGTTCTGAGAATGCTAAAGCCTGGGGTGAAGAACTACAGAAAGTTCTTTCTCGTGATCATCAGTATGTTATGGTGACGTATGTTCAACTGGTTGGTGTTTGCATCTACTTATTTATCCAGCCTAAGCACGCCCCTTATCTTCGTGATGTTGCTGTGGATTGTGTGAAAACTGGCTTAGGAGGTGCTACAGGTATGACATCTTTGTGATATAATTCTTGTGCTTAGAGTGGCACCTCTGATAAGTGTTTTCATGCTAAACATTTGTATTTGTGCTATGCAAGTTCACTACAAAAAGAAATTTTAAACATAATTCAGATGCCTGACTTGTTCTTCTTCAGGTATAGAGATAGATAGAGGCAAATAAGAAAAATGTTGCAAGAAACAGATACATGAAAAATTAATAAAAAATACTTTTTTTTGGGTGTGTTCTTGTGTTTTTGTCGTTTTATTACAAAATTAGGCTTGTCACCCTGATGAATCAAGTAATGATTCTTATGTTGGAAAGCAGTTTAGTAAATCTCAACATTTCACCTCTAAGCACACACACATTTTTTCTAGATTTCTTCTAGAATTTCCTGGAAGGATCAGGCCAAATATTCTGATAATTGATTGGTCTTGTTGAGAGGAATCAAATTACATATTGATCACCTCAGGAGGTGCCTTTAAATCCTAAAAATTGTGTTTAAGTAATTAAAACCCCCAAAAACATGATTTTTCAAAAAATATCTTAATACATTTTCAAAGTCTCTAGAGAAAAAGGTCATCGGTTTCCCATCAGTAGACAGATGCATTGAATGATCTCACCTGTCCCTAATGAACCAGAAGACATCCAACCATGAGTAATACACACACACACACACACACACACACACACACACACGAACACGCACACGCACATGCTCATGCTCTCTGATTACTATATATAGGATATATTTCATTAGAAAAGTACTGTAGATATTTCTGATGTGAATATACTTCAGTACCTTTATAATGTACATTAGTACACCTTTATAACATACATCTGAGGCGGTGTATCTCAAAAAGTTTGTTTATTTCTATCCAATTTATCCTACCGCTTCTCCTTACTGGCCAATCATAAACTGTGACTCATCTTTCTTAGGAGACAGTATATGGTATGTCGATTGCCAATAAACAGCGTATGTACTATAACATAGCCTCTTGATTTTAACATAGCTTTACGTTATTTTCAATATTTGGCGCATTTTGGAAATTGTAGGAACTCTTGGTATAGTCCTATTAAATACCACTCGTGCTTCGGAAATTCGCAGATTAATCCCCACGCTTTGGGAGTCGCTAATTCATTGACAATTTCCAAAGCACTCGTGGTAATTCCTATGATAAATAAGCCTTATACCTTGACACTGATCCTGCTTGGTTGAGCTCTATGGTGACATTGCATGAATAAGCTCTTGGCAAAACCATTAGACGTGCATTCCAAAAAACAGTACAGAGGGGCAAGGAAACAGATTTTCACTTTGAGCTTGGTAATTTCTGAAAGACTATTTTTACAGATGGTAATTCCTTCTGATGCAGCCTTTGTCAAGGGTGCATGAAATTAAAACCAAGTCACTAAGTTCACCACATTGTAAAACTGCTTATTTACTCATGGGAATAAAATTCCTCTATAACTAATAACTCTGAAATGGCTATGTGATCATAATTTGAATATCCACCTCATGCTTGTGTTATTTCCTCTCAGGAAATAAAGGTGCTGCAGCTATCAGATGTGTATTTTATAACACATCATTATGTTTTGTGTGTGCTCATTTTGCTGCTGGCCAGTCTCAAGTTACAGAGAGGAATGCAGATTATGCAGAGATAACAAGAAAAATTACTTTTCCAATGGTAAGTTTTGCTCCAAATGTTTGTGAAATGGAAAATTTCTCTCTTTACTTGAATAAGGGTTTTGCTTTCAGGGTCGCACCTTAAATGCACATGATTATGTTTTTTGGTGTGGAGACTTCAATTATCGTGTGGACATGGATAAAGATGATATGAAAGAACTAATAAAACAAAAAGACTATGCACAAATATTACAGCATGATCAATTGAAGGTGAGTGATTTTATTTTATTTAAAAATATACAATTTTAAAGAGCAATTTATGAGTGTTATGATGATCCATTATGTGTTTTGGAAATATTGTAGATCCAGCAAGAACAGGGCAATGTATTCAAAAATTTTATTGAAGGTGACATTAACTTTGCTCCCACATATAAGTATGATCTTTTCTCGGATGATTATGATACCAGTGAGAAATGTCGTGCGCCTGCATGGACTGATCGAGTTTTATGGAAGCGTAGGAAACAACTGCCTGACACAGGTGCGACATTACTAAATAGAATTGAATGACATCTTAAGACGTGTGCATGCTTTTACATGTGTATACGCAAGTACATGTCTCTCTCCCATCTATAGTGTCTTCGACCCTCTCTTTCTCATCTTTTTCTCTCTTTTGAATTGTGACATAGTGTTGTAGGTTCAAGGACACAGTTTTTTTTATTGTAGTGTAATAATAATAATAATAATAATAATAATAATAATAATAATAATAATAATAATAATAATAATAAACTAATTTTATTATATGTCCATTTCTCAACTTTACCTTAATCGTTCTTTTTATTCCATTTCCCCGTTTATAATTTTTTGAAACACTTTTAATGAAAAGAATAATGTGTTCCGTTTACTTTTCTTTTTTCAGTTCCAAATTATTAATGTTTCTAGATTATAAAATTCACTTGAAAGTTTTGTTTTTATCTGGTTTAGACTTATTTATGAAAAGTTGGTAGTTTCCATGCAAATAATTTACATGGAGTTCAATAAATTTCTCATTTTAGAATGTCCTTAATCACAGACTTTCTTTATTCTCTATGAATTGTTCATTCCTTTCATGAATGTAATTGGAACGGCATTATAGTTCTTCGTGGAGTGAGTAGTTTGTTAGCTCTACAATTCTTTCATTCGTTGTTACAGAAGGTTCTAACATGTTTGATAATACATTTTTTGTACATGTTCTTGTTTCACATTCTTATTTGTAAATAACTATTGTAGAAAGGTGAAATTATGAAAACCAATTAAAATGGCAAGAATAGAAAATTCTCTGCTTTCAAACAACACTTTGATTGTTAGAATCCAACCAGCAGTTATCTAGATCTCAGACTAAGAAATAGATATATACTTAATGCTCTGGGAAAAAATCAACTGGTTAATGTGAACTATATTTGATAATGACCTTGTTTGATACAGTACTTTTACTACATTTTTGATGTTTATAGATCTACCTTGTGATTGGAATCCTGGGACTCTGGTTCATTATGGTAGAGCTGAGTTGAAGCAGAGTGATCATAGACCTGTTATTGCGCTAATAGATATTGATATTTGTCGAATAGATGAAGATAGAAGGAGCCAAGTTTTCATGGATGTTATATTGGATCTGGGACCACCCGATGCTACTGTGGTAGTACAGGTAACTGGTATTAATTTGAGGCTAGCAGTATTGACAAATATTTTGTCATAAAAAATGTGTAAACTTATATATTATCAACGTTTTTAGCACATAGATGCTGAAGGCAATAATGAAGATGTTTTTGATGACAGTTTTATGATGACTCTTTTACAAGAGTTGAGTCAGATTGGTGAAGTCATTTTAGTACGTTTTGTTGAAGACACAATGTGGGTGACATTTAGAGATGGTCAATGTGCACTTGCCGCAGCTAAAAAAGCAACTACTGAAGTAAGGAAATAGTTGTTAAGAGAAGCAGTACTATCTACATTTGTATTTGTGTTCTATTATGAGGCCTGTACTCTTGCATTTATCTCTTGCTGAGTAATTTATTTCAAGTTTTGTCTCTAGTTTTCTCTCTGTATTGTGTTTATTCTGACTAACCTTCGTTCATTATTTTACTTTCTCACTCATTTAATTTTCATCTCTTCAATACCTACTTCTTTATGTCTTTGTTCTTTTGTGATTTTCTTGTTTGCTTCTTTGTTCTGATATTTAAAAAGTAATTAGTTTTTAATTCAGATTCTATCTATGTGATTTGAATGTTAATGTTTGCATTTGTATTCAACATACAATCAGTTGTTCTCACAAATTCTCTGCCACCTTGATAAAAATATTAATGGAATTTTGTTTATAATGACAACTATCTTCTTTTTCCAGCTTTGTGGTCGCACTTTGAAATTGTCATTAAAAACTCCAGACTGGCAAACTGAAGCACGAAAGGAAATAGAATTGTGCACCAGCAACACAGTGCCTCTTTGTGAAGCAGAATATGTTGATTCAGAAAGCAGAGTTGATCAGGGATTAAATAATAATGGAGAAGGTATGTAGTTACACTTTTGATTCTCATTAACGAATTTCTTAATAACATTGTGCGAATACAGTACTGTGATAAAGATTTAATTTCTTGTTTTGTATGTAGCTAAAGTATTGGAAACTTCCAAAGCTTCATTTGTGAATCTCAGAATTTTTCTATTTTGTGGGTATTTCTATTATAAATATGTACTAACATCTTTGTCTGATCATATGGAATGTTGGTACAAATGTCAAAATATGTCACAAAATCTGCAATCTTCTGTGCTCTTTGCAGAGCAAACCCAAAATGCTGATGCTTAGGAAGTAAGCCTTCAAGGTGTACTCCTTCCAACGTCTTAGAAAAAAATTCTGCCCAAATGTAGTATTTTGATTTTCTTTTCAGTGCTATACTCATTTCTGTGCATAGACTAGGGATATACCTCCTTATAAATTGCAGTCGCCCTTCCCAGATGGGAGATCATCCCTTCTGTGATGCCAAGCTGTAGTCTCTAATTGGGAAGCCCCCTGTGAGCCTTTATTGTAGATGGGAGTCCCATTTCGAATTGCTGCACCAGGGCATACGTGTACCTAGTTATACAACTGCTTTGAATGTTTAGAAAACTAGGCAAATTATAACTATCTACTCACAACAATACACTATTGCGGAAGAAAATATTCCTCGCAATACGCACTGGAGAAATGTTATGTCTAGTTAAAAACACCCAACATTTTGTAGCCATTGCAGAACAATGAAGATTAGAAATTCAGGTACTCAGAAGCAGCAGAGTCTTCGATTATTAAAAATCTAAGTATTGACAAAAATATTGTATACAACTTTTCTTGAAGACATTTATGTGTAATTCTCTGCATTATGATTAACTGTGCTGTATGTTATAGAGAATAATGTAAGGTGGTCACTGAAGGTAACAATTCTCTTTAAAGGAGTTGATGAAAGATATAGGTTAGGAATCCCTGTTTTAGATGCAATAAAATTGTAACTTTTAGGTTGCTTCATGAATGAAACCTACAACTTGTGCAATAGACATTGCTGAACAAGAATATGGAAAAGAAAATGTCAGTTTGGCTCTTGTTTCATGAGTACTCGCAAGTTACATTCACAACAAAATATTAATCATGTGACTATATAGTATACAAACTCTTCTGTGTATTAAACCCATTTCCAATATGCTTTGTTCTTGTTTTGTAGACCAGAAGCATTTCTGGACTCTGACCAGCGCTGTTCACCTAGGCTTTTTGTACTCTGCCTTCCTGCATAAAGTTGAGACTCAAAATTTGTTGATGAAAATGTTCACCATGGTCATCACTCATAGCTCCACAATTTTTAGGAAATGTTAAGATGAAAATTTAAGTGTAATTTGAGAGATTTATCATTTGTTTGTTCGTAAGATGACAGTAAGGACATTACAAAATTGTCCTCAAAATTGTCTGCCCTTTTGTTTCTCAAGACCCCTCATAAAGCTTGCATTACCTCCTTCTCAACACCCTTCAATAGATCTTGGAAGGTTTCGTTGTGGAAATTGGTGAACCACAAAAACTCCCTTAATCTTCCTACCACTTATTCCGGGAATTATTGTAAACATGTAGATATTTAAATGCTGGTCCACTTACATCCAAGATTTTGTTGAGACCAAGTTTCGTATAAAAAAAAGAAGTAAGATTTTGCTTGAAATCCACCTGAGGCTGCTGCTGCAAATTCAATTTCCCAGAGTTTGTTCACTAGTGTAAAGGTCATTCTTTTTACTTTCTCACTACTGCTACACGTGGTGTAGCCAGAATTAATGTTTTATGGCTCCTTGATACCAAACAATCAATTGACAATAAAACCTCTGTCTGTGATCAACACAAACGACTAAACCATTCAGCCAATTTTCTCCAAAATTGGTATTCCGCAATCGATCTGGCTGATGCTGCGGCCCCTTGAATTTGAAACCAATATTTTAATTCTTACCGATACTGTCCACGAAGCTCCTGAAACATTTTCCAAAAGAGATTTTTTCCCTTGATAAAATCTGTTCCTTATAGATAGATTTTGAAATAAGGTCATGTACAATTTTTCAAAATTTTGACTATTTTTTGCGTTGTTTTGTGTAAAATATAGGCAATTTTTGTTTAAACATTTTTTTATTTTTTATTTTTTTTTTCAAAAACAGCTCCATCGTTTTTTGATGAAATATTGTTGGTTGGTTGTCCGAAGAATGTTTAAGAGAATGGTGTAGGTCTCATGTTGGTTGAAACCCCTGATTTCTCAACAATTAAAAAAATTCAAATTTTCGGCATCTTCCTACAACTAAAATTATGAAGATACAATTTTTCCTTAGTGAAATGTGTTCATCAATAACAGATCTTTAAATAAGGACATGTTCAATTATTCAAAAACATAAGTATTTTTTGCGAAATGTCAAACAGGCTATTTTTGTTTTCTTTAAAAAAAATACTTTTTCTTAATAATCGCACATTTTTTTATTAAATTGGGAACCTGGCTTAAAGAATGCTTAAGAGTATGGTGCAGGTCTCATGTTCATTAAAATGCGTGATTGCGAAAATTAAAAAAAATTTAGGCGTCTTCCTACAACTAGAATTGTGAAGATACAATTTTTATCTTATTGAAATGTGTTCATAAAAAGCAGATCTTCAAATAAGGTAAAGTTGAATTTTTTGAAAATATTAGTATTTTTGTGTAATTTCTCAACAAATATAATAACCTGCCAAAATTGACTGTGCTTCATTTTCAGTGTCTTCTCATAAGTACAATTGTGAAAATATATTTTCTTTCTTAATGAAATGTGTTTATCAAAAATAGATCTTCAAATTCTCAATCTTCAAATGTTCAATTTTTTGAAAATATGACTGCTTTTTGTGTAAATTGGCGACAAAATTAAATGCCCACTGCGAATTTACGTCCAGATTTGAACGATTCCACACAATTGGATGCTTTGTAAGTCAGAATTTGTATATAATTTATTATTTCTTTGTTTGTTTCTTACATTCAACCTTTTGTTATACATTTACACATTAAACTTTTAGAAATTATTTAAAACCTATTTGAAATATATGAAAAATAAATTGTTAGCTTTCAGGGAATATCAATAATGCAGGGAATGCAACAATGGAACACCTGTGAATTATGTTTCATTGTTGTGACATGATTAAGCTGTATCAAAAAGAAATATAATTGTCGATTTTGTGTGGATATTAAGTTTCCGCTCCCAATGCTTTACTATTTGTCATGAGTAGACCCTGGAACTTAATGCACCAATGAAGGTTAAATTATTCATGCAATCATGCTCTTCTAATAGCCAATACATGCGCCAATACAAACAACTCAGAATATGTGTTAAACAAAAATATAGTGAGGAACAGATATCATTATATAAAAACCAATAAAAAAAGCAGTAAAAAATTAACTTAATTTTACAAATCATAGAATATTCGTAATTTAATTAGTTCATAAGTAATAAGAGTTATTTATCAACTTTGTATGATGTATAATGTCTAACGGATCAGAAAGTGGTAATCTGAATACAGATGGAAATAAGTGTTTTTTGTAAAGAATTGTTATTATTTGCCAAGCAAATGCACAATAGTTTTGGCAATGGTGTGTTGCTCTTTTCTGTATAATTTGTTGTGAATACTGTATCAGTGAAATATATTCCTGTTTGTTTCATTTGTCAAAGTAAGAAATGAGTGTTGCTCCTGCCTATCAAAATGAATGCTGATATGCATCACAGGCGCTTTGTTTGAATTGGATGTTGTGAAGTAATTGTAGATGAGATTTTAGTAGGACAGAAATTGCAATACTTCAATATTACGTTAGTGTTTCTAATAATATGAAAAAGTATGTGCTGGTGTAGCCCTACAGTTTGTTAAATAAGATGTCCTATCTTTCCTGCCCCATTCACAGAGGAAATAATTGTTTAGTGTTGCCTTGCTGGAGTCCAGTTAATATAGAAATTACTCTCAAGTCTGATTCATATTTGTTACAATTAATCGAAATGAGTAGTTTTAGGTCAGTACATGATTCTTTCATAAGCGCTGCATAACCAACAGGAATGCCAGTAATGGAGTGAAATACCTTTGAGGCTGTAGTTGGTAGTGTAAATAAAAATCTCTATTCTTCAGATGCGTATATCAGATTTATTACTTCCAACATGCGAGATTCGTCATTGCAGAACGCAACACTTTTTATATTGAAAAATATATTAGAACGGTTCGAACGGCTTGCAAAAAAAAAAAATGAGACTTAGGATTTTCTGCAAGATACGAGGCTTCTCTCGTACAGTTTAGAGGCTAGCAAGTATAGCTACAGAGCTAGGTCGAGTTCAGCCGCTATCAGGGGGAGAATTCTATGATTGATTGTTAGTGATTCCGAGCGCTCCAACTGCTAGATCATTATTCACCGTAAGTGTAGTGCATATTTTCCTCGTGAGATGGCTGTGATCTTCCCCCGCTGGGTGACGAAATCTGCCGCCTACCTACCGTCGGCTAGCGGGGTTTTCTTCAACCAGCGGGGCACCGCCCCATCCGGGTCAAGCTCTGAGCCCCCGACCGGTCTCCCGGCATGTGTGGTAGTGTAGTGCATGTTAGTGTAAGTGTGTTTGAGTAAGGGGTGGGGATAGGACAAGGAAGAGGAAAGAAAGATCGCGCGCGGTCTGTGACCCGTTTGTTAGGGTACAGCTCCGGCATTCGCGTTGATCGGGGAAACCACGGAATACTACCGATCAAAGCAGCCGGCCGCTAGAATTCTCCTTTAGACAGTGGTAGAACTTGACCCAGCTATGTAGCTAATGTCGTCAGGACTAGAACGTAAGACCTCCAGGTCAGAGGCACTGCAGTGACATCAGTTGATGCCCTGAGCCACGTCTCCCGGTAGGAGAATTCTAGCTGCTCTGATCAGTAGTTTTCCGTAGTTTCTGTGATCAACACCAAGCGAATGACGGAGCAGTACCCTAACAAATGGACCACAGACCACGCGCGATCTTTCCTCCCCCTTTCTTCTATCCTCACCTCTTACTTACATACACACTACACTACCACACATTCAGAAATCATGCGCGAGCTTAGAGTTTGTGGCACGAGGACAAACAGGTCGTTGCAGCGCCGACGAAGCGGGAAGATGGCGGCGGTGCGTAATTCTGCTAGTTTACTGTGGATAGAAACAGGATTTACCTGTCAACTTTTTCGTTACCAGGGTCCGACAGTGAGAGTGTTTCTATCGAAAATTTGCCGTCCTTTTTCCTGCGCACAATTACAATATTTTTTCTTACATTCGTCAAGGACGAGAAAGTAAAAATCACATTTTTTACCACATTTCTGATAAAAATGGATGTTCCAAATTTTAGGGAAAGCACCTTCAGAGCGGGGTCAATTCGTGTAGCCTATCCTATTTAAATTAACAGTACGCTTGAGGGCCATTTTTGCCTTTTCTCACAACCTAGACGCCTTTCTTGTTGTTCCTCACATGGTTATTTGTCACCTCTTGAAAGTTTTCTCTAATACAATACATTTTAGTTTTCTGAGACTCAAGTGTGTTCACATTTGGGTATTTCAGTATTTTCACATTCTTATCACTTTTGAGCACAACAAGAGGGTTGCTCAGTTTCATCACCAGAGAACTTACTGTTCCAAAAGTGTGTGTTCAATGCCACATAGGCTTGAGAATGTTGTGCCAAAGAGGTGACAGAAATTTAAAAAAAGAATAAAAAAAAATTCTCCGTACTCAAACAATCTGTATTATGGCTTTAAATTATTTGACAAGGGCACCAGTGACCATAGCTATTGAAGTTCCATTTAAACGTCAAGCAAATCAATCAATCAAAAGCTCTTTTTATCAGTCACTTGAAAACCTTGCATTAGCAATCAGCAGTCTTCTAATGTGGCACTTATTTTGAGGTATGAAAATAAAATTTAAGAAGTGAATGCACCCTACACCCTAATTTTCTAAATATGTTGTGTTACAGGTGGCGGAATGAGTAGCAGACCTGGAGAGTCACCGAAGGGTGGACCGCCTCGACGACCAGCTCCTCCTGTTAGACCTCCATTGCCTGCCGTTAAATCTCCATCCAGTTCTCCAGTCCCTCCAAGGAAGCAAATACCAAAAGTTAGTTCACATTTGTTTCTGTATTCTTATTTAACATAATTCATTTGTTAATATCCATTTATCTATGTTGACTACTTCCCTCATGAAATTTCTCCTAACATTATGCAAGAATTCTAACTGAACAAACCAAATTGATAATAAATTAGCCATATAAACTTAATGTTTTCTCATTACTACCTCAAAACTGACCTTTCTCTTTAATGATCTTCTCTCTGTTTTGCTGTCTGTTTGTACTTGCTGATTTCCCTTGCACCATTAATTGGATTTTTAAAGATATTTATTATAGCTCAAAAGCAAACTGTTTAGGTTTGCATTTATTTAGCAATGGAAACCATAAAATACAAAAGAAAATGTTTTGTTTTTAAAAATGTGTAGATACAGCCAAAAAACATAAGACAATTCCCCCATTAAGCCTATGAAGAAAACGCAAACATCTTAAAAGATTAGAGATTTAACATGCGAAAATTGACTGGACCAGAATTTAAAAGTGTACTGTGAAAATTATCTTTAAACAAAAATGATCCTTCTTCCATTATTCGTTTTCACACATTTTTAATTCTGTTTTTCATTTATCCATCTGCAATTCGTTCTCTCTTCACCTATCCATTCATCATTCATTCAATAAATCACCTACTCATCTGTCATTATTCCATGTTTGAACAATCTCAGTCCTCCATCCCTCATTCTAACATAAATCAAATCCATGCATCAGCCAACAATGTGTCAGTCCATATAGACCTTCTTTAATCATTCTTTCAATTTATCCGTCCATTGTTCATGCCTTCATCCGTCCATTGTTCATGTATTTATTCTTTCATTCTTCATGCATTCATCCATCCATTGTTCTTGCACTCCTCCACCTAACATTCATCCATCAATTCTTTATTCATCAATCCATCGTTAATATCCCCTTCGTGCCGCCGCCCTTCGTTAAGCTTCAAGTGTGAACTTGTGTCTTGACCAGCTCCATTTCCTATGTATTCACCATGTCTTCCTTTATTGCCTCGCATTTCACCTTGCCCTCATTTCATACCAGGGGAGGAGGGGTGCTCTTCGCCGTGCCAAGTGAACCTCTTAACCTGTTGTTCAGCAGATTGTTTTGTCACACGGTGAACTGTATAGTTGATCAAATTTTTTGCTGGGAAGCCATGGAGGGTTGCCAAATTAACACTGTATTTTGCTTAAATAAAAAATTTCTGCTCTCACAGAATGTATAGGGGTCCTCTGTGCCACTGAACCTCCAGCACATGCTGTCTCTGTTTCCGTCAATCTGTCCATGTCTTACGATTTCCTAACTTCAATCTGTAAAGTCTTTCCTACCTTCCTTCTATCCATGTCTTACTCTCTCCTCCCTCCTAGCTTCCACCTTCCAATACCAGTCACCTCTCATTCACCAGTTGTGATAGTTAAGCTTTTTCTGGTAAACAAGTTTTGCAATGGGAACAACTGAGGAGTCTACTTTCAAAACGCGACTTTTCCACCTTTGGTGAAAAATGAGATTGATTTCAATAGGGGTCTGTTGCCCTTATGCGTCATTCTATAAAATGATTTGTAAGAAAATGCGTTTTTGTTTACTCCAGATGGCTTCATAATAATGTGTTAATATCAGAACGTGAACTTTCGTTGTAATATTCGTTCTGTTTAATATTCAATTCTTTGTACAGTATGATCTTTCTTATCCTGCAAACTCAAATTCTTGGGTCACTAAGTGTTGGTGTTGTGTTATATCAAAATGGAAATTTATTGTTCCATAGAAATCTAGCTGGCCTAAGCATTGACCAAGCTGATACCGGGAATGATGGAGTTTTGTGAAAGTGAGCAGTAAGGGTTTGCTGATCTTCATATTTGATGAAAAATGCCATATGAAATAAAGAAATCAAAAGGAAACAATTAATACTCTTGTAAAAATATTTAATGAAAACAATTTTATTTTCTTAAATAGATACGCTTTCACCAAAAATTATTTCAATTAAATTTGAATTGAGACTTTTCCATATTTTTAGCTCAACTTTCTTTGTAATGACTAGATATTCTTAAAGTATCTTATAATATTGTTTTTACTTTCACTAGCCAAGGGCATTAATCTCAAACATTTAGCAGCAGAATGTTTTAAACAAATGATATGACATTTTCTTGTTTTTTTCAAAACAAACTATTATAGAAACTAGACCCCTCGAGTGATAGTTTTTCATTACTCATTTTGAATTCTGTATTCTGCGGATTTTTTTTACTGTTTTTGTAGTTCAAATTATTATTCTTGGGTTTTCATTATGACTATTTTTGTTCAATGAATCCAGAATGTTCCTTTAGATAAAGTAATGAACTGTGCATTAAGATGGGAAACAACAGAAACGAATGTAGAAGAATGTTCTTTGTTTCTGTCCCCATACCAAATTCAACATTTTTGAGATGTGGATTAAATAAATTAAATGCTGGAAAGAAAGTAGTTTTGAATAGCAATCTCTTGTTGGGTAATTTCACTAACTTAACTAGTGAGTTTTTTCTTCCTATGAATTTTCCATACAAACATGAAAAACAAATGTGAAGTGAGTCAAGAATAAGATTTAGTGTACTGTACTAATAAACACCATGCAAGTGATAGAAGCAGATGTAAGGAGCAGAGTATAGCCGGTACATCACTGTGGGGATGGGGGCAATGAAATCCAACACCACCTATAATTTGAAAATTTTTTAAAAGTTAATTTTTAGCCTACCTAAAGTTTTTTAAATTTTGCTTGTTAACATATTTTCAATATTGAAAGAGATGTGTGAGTCCCAGGGTGTATTCCATAGTGTCCTGAGATGCTGCAAATTTAGGAATGCAGATTAAGAGCTATTGTGAACAGTCGAGCACTGAAAGATATAGTTTTATTGATGTATCGATATAATAAATTGTGAGAAATAACATACTTAAAGATATCTGTGAAATATTTTATGAGGGTTCACATACTAACTTTTTGGTATTGGAGAACTGGATTTTCTCTGTGGATGCCATTTGCGGAATCAAAAATTAATATGTGGATATTGATGTGTGTGTGGGG